AAATGAGTATATGTGAGTCGTTAGAATTAAGTATAGAAACCTAAATAAAGATATATTGGTAACCGACAAATTTGTGTATATGTATGCGTGAGATATATTGATGTGGTAATAAACATGACACATCACTACACACTACTACATCAATATCGCACGCATACATACTCACAAATTGTCGGTAAAACAGCGGATTTTTGGAGTTTGATCTAGGATTTAGGATTCTCTTAATAACGTATTATTCAAATAAATCGCAAATTTATGTTAAAAGTCGATAACATTGATACTTTGCAATTACCTATTCGGGCCCACCGGGCCCATTTGCTGGAACAAAAAATTTACCCAGAGCTGACGGTCTGTAACAGTATCCAAAGGGCCCGGAAGTAATTGCAGAATGCCGATGTTATCGACTTTTGACATAAATTTGCGATTTATTTGAATAATATATGATTAAAATCATTATTTTTATTATATAAATGCTTTATAAATAAATATGAATACTTATAATACTATATTATCATATATATTGTCTCAAAATTACATTTTTTTCCAACTGTTTTACCATCTCTCTGGATAATCAAACACGGATGGTAACTATAAAAATGCAGTTTTAAATAAAATTAACTATCATAAAGATATATATAATATAGATGAATTACAATTATTTACATGTCTAAAAAACATTAATCTAATAATAAATCTTTAAATTAATATTATATTACTGACTAATTGCTTAAATTTTAGCAATCACTAAACAGCTACGCTAACTCCCATAAGAATGTCGGTCTTTAATATTTTTACCGGTAAGATACTATTAAAGACCGACACTCCTTACTGGAGTTAGCGTAGCTGTTTAGTATAATTGCTAAAATTTAAGCAATTAGTCAATAATATAATGTTAATTTAATGATTTATTATTAGATCAATGTTTTCTAGACATGTACATACATATTGTAATTCATCTGTATTATAACTATATATTGCTACTGCATTTTTAATTACCATACGTGTTTGATTATCCAGAGAGATGGTAAAATAGTTAGAAAAAAATGTAATTTTGCACCAATATATTTGATATTATAAGAATTATAAGTATTCATACTTATTTATATAATAAAAATCATGATCTTATTAATGCATTATTCAAATAAATCGCAATTTATGTCAAAAGTCGATACATCGACACTCTGCAATTACCTCTGAGTCCTTTGGCTGGCACAAAAATTTGCCCTGGACTGACGGTCTTTAACAGTTTCTCTGGTGATACTTTTAATAGTATCTCGTCGTGAATAGACATATAATCAATGTTTATGACGGCAAGAGTTAATATAACACAAAGTTAAAATATCTAAGAACGCGGATAAAGCCTTTCAACAAAAAAATGTTTACGACACGTAAAAATAATTTTGAGTATGCCTATATCATATATATTATAATATTATAATATTATATGTGTATATGTATATATGCAGCTATCTCTGATTAATCAACAATTTGCTTTTCAAATTTCACTTCTCTCATCCAAAACTACATCATATACTTCCTTTATATTCCTCCATGCTCTTATCTTTCGTTTTTCTTTTTTTTCTCTTTTTTCTTCGATTAAATTCATTACATAAATCCCTGATGAAATCTCGCGGAAATAATTGATACCAGTAATAGATTTTATCTTTAGCAAGAAAACAAACCTTCCTTCCACTCTCATTATGTATTAATTATGTATTAATTATGTACGCGCTATCAGAGAAACGTCACGGCAAATCAATGCCGGGCTCTCTATAAAAAGACCGAGCGGGGGACGAGAACTCTTTTTTTCGTTCCCGGTTAAATGTCAAATCGCGAGCGTCGGCCATTTTCCCTTCCGGATCGTTTGCGGTCGCCTCGCGTTCCGCGTGCGCACGTATACTTTACATACACATTACACACAATACACACGCGCGCCGGTGTACTGCCGGAGTACTTCATGGCGTCACACAGCTGACGTGTATACGTGCACACCGACCGCGCCGCGCGGAGTGGAATGGTACGCGACGAGGACGGGACCACAATACCACATCATATCACCACGGCAGGACGTAGGACAACCCTCGCGAACGAGTCGGATCACGGTACGAGCGTTGTTCTCGCATAACCTCGGCGCGTCGTCACCGGCGATTAATCGGAACCGAATGTGTCACGGAGTCGCGAGTCGTCACTGAGCCTGGCGAAATCGTCTTCCCCAAAAGGTGAGTACATACTTGATCGGGCATGCAACGCGTCGAGAAGCCGACGACGACGATTCTCGATCGACATCCCCCTCTGAGGACGCCTCCAATGGACTCTCCTCAGCTCGTGGTACATTCGAGGGAAAATTGGATGCAAACGAAACGGGGGGGAGGGGGGTATCGCGAAGGAGAGACGAGCACGTGCGGCAATCAGGTCGAATGTGAAAGGCAGATCGAAATGGAATTTAGATTCGTGATTTTATCCAGCTTACCGAGCGCACTGGCTTGAAATATCAATGACTTTGTTTACTTTTAATTTAAAAGTCAAAATCAACATGCCCTAATGAGAAGCACTTGCGTCCTACTGGCTACTGCTCGTCGAAACATCTTTTTTTTTTTTTATTCACATCCGAGAATTAATATTATCCTAAGCGATTTACGTCTGATGATGTAATTACTATTTCGTGGATAAATAGAATTTTGTATTAATTTGTTGCAGATGTCGTTGACATTTCAGCAGATTATATTGGATGCCAAGAAATTGGTCATTCGAATTTCAGACCATGAGAATACGGCAGACACTCTGATAAGCGAGGTAGAGGCTGTGTGTGGACAAATTGATAACATGAAGCAGGTAGATATTATATACTTTATAAATATACATATGTTACAATGTTAAAAAGATATGTGTATCATATATTGTCGCTATAAATAGTTTGCTATAAATTGTGATCGCTTTTATGTTTGCAGTATCAAGAGGAAGTAGAAATTTTAAACACGGAAGCAAAGCAGAGGCCGCACTTGCAATTGATTGCCGGAATCCAAAGGGAAAATAAGCATTTGCGAGAGATACAAGCAGAAAACAAGGAATTGAGAAACGCATTGGAAGACCATCAGCATGCGCTTGAGCTCATAATGTCCAAATACCGACAGCAAACTGCCTCTTTATTACGTCTCAGCAAAACTGATTATTCATCCATGCACAATTCAAAATACGCTAATGTAAGTCAAAAAGTATCTGTCCGAAATAATAGATTGAGCTTTATATTTCTCTATTTCAAATTTTTATTATTTTTAATCAAATGAATTTGCTAATTGAAAACTACAAAAAGAAATAAAATTTACGCATGTATATATATATAATTTACTAATTTATGTGTATTTTGTTAATTCACAGATAATAACCAGTCAAGCGGAGAAAATTAATGAGATGGCAGCCGTAATGAAAACAGCCGCTGCCTTAGACGAGGAGAATGAATTGAAGGAGAAGGAGGCGTTTCATACGTTAAAAGAAGAGAACGCAACACTTCGAGAAATAGTAAATATTGCAAATAAATACGGTTCCTTAAATAAAGAATGTTCTGTAGAAAGCAAAACCGTTCAAACGGATCCGCCAATAGATTAAAGGTATATCTGCTCCTAGAGCTTTCGATCCTTTTTTATAAAAAAAGTTTACCAGTATTTATTTCACACACAAACTCATGACATATTCTATTACTTACTAGATAGAATCTATTATACATAGTAAGAAGTGTATGTGCAAGTTGTAGTATATTAAATATTTGTAAAATAAATTGTACAAGCTGTTTGCAACATATATTTATTTTATGATTTATCCTTTATCGAGATTATCGTAAATGTACTCCTATAAAATGCATTTTTTCATGGAAAAAAGATAGTGTTTAAATCATGCAGCTCAAACATTTTCTTCGATTTTTATCTTAAACGAATTTTTTTGAAACCATATGATTTTAAAAAATTATTTTTTATAATCCATGTCACAAAACGCAAAATATTGTTTAATATACACATAGTTAAGTAGGGTTGCAGAAAAATAACGTTAAAAATAATTTTTTCGCTTTTAATTTTTACGCTAGATCAATTTGTTCGATAGGATAATTATCCATTTGCTGAAAAAAACTTTGGAAACTACTTTTTTTTAGTTTCCGCAAAACAATTTTACGCTTCTAATAATTTATTGCATAATGTTGTTTGTCAAATACTATTGATTTGATGATAAATATCGTTTTAGCATTTTCGGCAATTTTTTTTTCTTCAAAAACCTTTGAATCTTATTTCAGTGTATCTTCAAAAGATTCTTTTGCAAAGGGTTACTTTATTTTTCTTGAAAGCGAAACAACTCTTTCCTTTTTTAACATTATCCTTCGAATTAAAAACTTTCTCTGCAAGAATCGGTGTTCCATAAAAATGTCCATAAAGTAAAAAAGGGTAAAAAGAGAGCAAAAAAAAAATACGTTTGGAAGGGTGTAAAGGGTCGATCGTCTATGTAAGATTTATGATCGCTATTTTTTTTTGGAACACTTTCTACATTTTAAAAATTTAAAAAATGTACTAATTTAAATATTAAGCGCAATGTGTAAAAAACAACTTCATGAATATGATCGGCATTACTCAATATACAGATCGAGTGTCCTATTTTAACTTCCGCAATTTCCAATATACAACTACATATTTTTTACAATTATCATGGGCAAGCGAAATGTCTCGAAAAGTATAAAAGATGACACGTTTTAGATAAAGTTGCATGGTCTGAAGGGGGACAAATAATGGTAAATTAATTTTTGAAAAAAAATCAATTTTTCAAGGTTATATGAACAGTATCGCCATTTTTTAAATAGAATTATGATATTTTTTTACATAGTATGATTTCTTTGATTATTTTGCATATAAAGTATTAGGTAAAGCTATTGATAAATCAATAGTACATAGATATTTTATACTTTATCATATTTCGATTTATCAATATAAAATATGAAAGAATAAACTATTGATTTCTTGATAATTGTTCATGATAATTTAAAAAAATGTAATTGCATATTGCAATTTTTTTTAAAAGCAACTGAGATTTTTCTTTAAATCAATTGATTCGTCTCATTATTCTGTGTATAAAGATTATTAAATTACAATTATCAAGAAATCCTTGAAAAATTGATTTTTTTGATAATTAATTAATTTTTTTATTATTTGTCCCCTTTCAGATCGTACAACTTTTGTCTGGAACATTTTTTCATATTTTTTATTTTTGTACTTTTCGAGACATTTCGATACAATGGTGGGATCCTGTATTTATATGTACTTGTACGTGTGCGCGCGCGCGTGTGTATGTCGCATCGTATTGAGCATATAATGTTATTATCCTTCACATTATTAACTATAAGTTTCTTGACTGAATAACTAATTTTTTTTATTGAGAATAATTGTGGACATATTGAGCAAGTCATATAAGCAAAAGCTTTCTTTTACCTTTTAATTTCTTTCTCTAATGCCATACTTATGAATTACTCTACACTATACTCCATACTATTTTCTTAATATATAGACGACGTAGATTTCGTACGAACTAGCAATGAATAATTAGAAATATGTTCGTACGAATACGAAAAAAAAAATCTGTCCACCTTCCTATATTTTAGCTATAACTTCTGTTTACATACCTTTGTCTGACGATATGAAAATAAAGGATTTTTTACGACGTTTCAGTTATTTGCGAACTGAATCTTATGAAACAGGAACTCTCTTGTTTTTCCGAAATTTATATCTTCAACCCTTTTACTATTACGGATTTTTTTCTCTGCATTTTTCATACTTGACAGGGAAAAAAGAACATTCAGTCTAACTTTCACATATTCTTTTTATTCTTTTCGTAACTTTATACGTAACCCTTGTACATAACTCTTTCGGAAATCGCTTGCAGAAAACAAACCTTCGCTCCTTACGACAATACGGGCAAAGTAGGTATGTCGAAACGTTCAATGCTTTTTTCTCATTGTTGCGAATATTACGTGTTGTCAATGTTAAATGCATCCTGAGGATGGTTTCACGACGTGATTTCCAAGGACGTTTCTATCTTTTTTATCCCTTTCCTTTTGAGAGATACTCCTTCCTAAATTATTTGCGAAGAAATCAGGTAACGATTTCTCAGAGAATTACCATACATAAATCGATTCCGAAACGGATGAATCATCAGTCGTGATTTTTTTCTGAAAATGTGCAAAAATAAAGACATAAGTACATATAATAAAATACGAAAAATGTAAAAGTACATTTTCCTGAATGCAATTTTGTATTTTAGAGAGTCATAAAAAGGTGAATAACTATGGTACTATCTCCTTTCAGTTTTTCACCGTGCTTGTTATATGACCTTTTAATTTTGTAAGAATTTTTTGCAAACTCCTTGAAAGGAATGTGTACGTTGCTCTACGTTGCATACTTACTCAAAATAAATAAATATTTTTATATTTACATTTTGATAATAATATTTAAGTATCCGGACAATGACCAACAATGAGTTCTAAGGACGTTTCTATCCTTTTTTTATCCCTTTCCTTTTGAGAGATACTCCTTCCTAAATTATTTGTAGAAATCAGATAACGATTTTTCAGAAAATTACCATGTATGAATCGATTTCGAAACGGATGAATCATCAGTCGTGATTTTTTTTGAAAATGTGCAAAAATAAAGACATAAGTACATATAATAAAGTACGAAAAATGTAAAAGTATACATTTTCCTGAATGCAACTTTATATTTTAGGAAGTCGTTAAAAGGTGAATAACTATGGTATTATCTCGTCTCCTTTCTCACCGTGCTTGTTATATGATCTCTTAATTTTGTGGGAATTTTTTGCAAACTCCTTGAAAGGAATGTACGTTGTCCTACGTTTCATACTTACTCAAGATAAATAAATATTTTTATATTTACATTTTGATAATAATATTATCCAGACAATAACCAACAATGAGTTTCAAGGACATTTCTATCCTTTTTTTATCTCTTTCTTATTGAGAGATACTCTTTCCTAAATTATTTGTGAAGAAATCAGATAACGATTTCTCAGAAAATTATCATACATGAATATCGATTCCGAAACAGATGAATCATCAGTCGTGATTTTTTTTGAAAATGTGCAAAAATAAAGACATAAATGCATATAATAAATTATGAAAAATATAAAAGTACATTTTTCTGAATGTAGCTTTGTATTTTAGAGAGTCGATAAAATAGTCCGGGAGGCAGCTGGCTTTTCTTTACTCATTTCACCAAACTTACTTTATGAATTTTATCGTTATATTGAAGTAGACGATTGCTGAAATGACGGTCTGGCAGTGGCGTTGCGGGACAGGGCCAGACGGTACGCCCACAATCTTGTAAAAAAAACAATGCACTCACGTCATAGTACCAAAGCTAGAACTTTTTTCACTAATTATTGATTTTATTAAAAATGATATAATCATAGTTTGGCAGCAATTCGTCGGGACATGACGTGATGGCATGCCCTCAACTTTGTAAAAAAATAATACTTTATCGTTATAGTGTCAAAGCTGAAATTTTTTGTGATGACATTTAATAGTGATATAAAAATGTCAATTACGATCAAAACGGCTCTTGATGTTTAATAATATTTATTCGTGAATTTTACAATATTCAGCTCATGCAAACTGTGCGCCGAATATTGTCGATCTTGAAGTTCTAAATTGAATCCGGAATACGTAATATTACATGTTATAAATTAACAAGCAATTTAATAATTTTGATGCTAATGAGCATTTATTTAATTAATTGTTACACAATATTTATCTACATATCGCCTGAAAAAGATGTTCTTTTCAAAGATTTTTTGGTTATTGCGATAAATATTGCCACATGCCGGTAGTCGAACGCTCGCCCGGAAAGTTGAGAGATCCAGATTTAAATCCGGGCTAATATTTTTCAGTAGGTTATTTTACGGGAATTAAATAGATGCTCATTAGCATCAAAATTATTAAATTGCTTGTCAATTTAACATGTAATATTATGTATTCCGGATTCAGTTTAGAACTGCGTTTCAAGACCGACAATATTCGGCGCGCAGTTTGCATGAATTGAAAATTGTAAAATTCACGAATAAATATTATTAAACATTAAGATCTGCTTTGACCGTAATTGATATTCTTACATTACTATTAATTGTCATCACACAAAATTTCAGCTTTGGTACTTTGACGTTAGAGCATTATTTTTTTTACAAAATTGAAGGCCTGCCATCACGTCACGTCCCGACGGACCGCTGTCAGACTGTGATTATATCATTTATAATAAAGTCAATAATTAGTAAAAAAAGTTCTAGCCTTGGTACTATAACGTGAGTGCATTGCTTTTTTTTTTACAAGGTTGTGGGAGTATCATCTTGCCCCGTCCCGCAGCAACACTGCCAGACCGACATTTCAGCACATTTCGTCTACTTCAGTATAACAATAAAATTCATAAAGTAAATTTGGTGAAATAAGTGAAAAAAAGCCAGCAGTCTTCCGGACTAAAAGGTGAATAACTTGGTATTATCTCGTCTACTTTAGTTTCTCATCGTGCTTGTTAAATGAACTCTCAATTTTGTGGGGATTTTTTGCAAACTCCTTTAAAGGAATGTACGTTGTCCTACGTTGCATACTTACTCAAAATAAATAAATATTTTTATATTTACATTTTTTGCTAATAATATTTAAGTATCTGGACAATGACCTTTTTGAAACAGTCTCATCTCTCCCGCGACGTTCAATATAAACGTCAGGGCGTACACATACATACAATAATTCGAGGGTG